AGATTAATCTTGAAGAACAACTTTTACTTTAATGAAAAGATGTCGCAAAAATGACTGTTAAAGTTGTTGTTGTAAAGGCAATCTATAATATCGACGCAAACGTGACGATGTAGTCGACGACCACAACCTGGTTTACTGCTTATTTATATATTGTTATCTGTACATTCGAAAGAAGAGACAATTCTTTTCAAGACAACAACTTGAAGCTAATGAAAATGGTTCACGGTATAAATCATACCTCCGTTTCCCCCCTCTCCCATTAAAAGTATATTATAGTACATGCGGTTAGTTTAACTAGTCTTGAAGGGTACTAATTTGTTCTTCCCCACGAACTACTAGTTGTACAAGGTATATATGTATATAAACTCTTAACCCTTTCATTACGTCAAAAATGACCGTCAATACGCTACCTTCGTGCAGGATGTTTGAACCGCAATTATTATATTATACGAATTATTGTCTTCTTGTTCAAATCACTTGAAATTAATAAGCGTTTTACGAAATTAAATCGCACGAAACTGAAACGTTGTGTTATTATGATTACTTTTAGAAAATGTTTTAGCAACAATTCTATATTCGATCGGTGTGGTTACCTTTAGTAACAAAAGGGTTAAGGATCTTGGAAAATGTTGAAGTATTTATAAATGCGACAAATAGAGTGTGTGTTGTTAATTATTAATTATTTTACTAGAGGGATACAACTTGACATGATCTGATAGTGTTAAACGCTGCAAGAGTTGAGCAAGGGGGCGGGGGTTAAAAGAAAAGTCGGTAGCGTATTTAAAGAGACACCCGCGATTCTTGCACGTCACTAACAAAAGGATATCTACGTAGGTAAGGGGGAGCAGGCCAGGATGCCTTAAAGATGAAAAGATATCTAACCTGCAAAGGACTGCTGCCGCTGCTGCCATTGCTGCCACTCGATGGACCCATGTCGTGTCCATGGTGACTGTAATCGCTGCGGAGCAGATTTTCGCTCTGCATCTTGCTCTTTAGGCACGTGATGTACCTGTTGCAGAAGTCCTTGCACAAATCCTGAACCTTTTCCAACTCGAGTAGGTGAATTCGCAGCACCTGTATCGCCTTGATCATCTACGATGGGCAGACAACAACATGAGAGGGAAAAAAAACAATGTCGCAGATACGATCGATTTTCTTTTCGTTTCCCTGATACGATCCGTCATTTATTATTTTTTTTTGTTTCGCGCCGGGAAACGCTGTCTTTGTTTTTGAACGATCGAACGAGGCGACGTCATTTATTACTGAATTGTCTTCAGCGTAAACTATCTTTCCTTTTCTAATATAATTTTTCTTTGTAGACTGTAAGCATTATTAAATAATGCGTTACAGCGAAAATCTAAGTTTGGAGCAGCGATTCTCAACTCAGTTTAACAGCGGGATCCTTTCCACGTGGAAAAAAATGTATATTTCTCTCCACGAAATACATACATTAATATTGTTTAAAAGTTTATTTCTGAAAATGTTTCGTATATATTTTAAATAACTAATTACAACTCGAAAATAAGTTTAATCGCACAACTATAGAGTTTCGCGGAATACAGGTTGAGAATCTGTGCTTTAAAGCACGCTTAATGAAAATACTGACATGGATCAGAAGTGACCCCATGCCAGTTTGTCGTGTGGCTATTGTCGGTTAGCCGTTTAAAAATTGAAATTACTCGAGTATTTTCAATATGCAGTCTTTTCTTTCTTAAGCTATTCGTGTAATATTATTATTATTATTATTTTACATCTACTATGAACAAGATGTGATAAATAATTTCCCTTAAACATGTAAAAACACATTTAGAAAAAAAAAGGAACCAGAAATGGTAACACATTAACACGTTGAGTGCTGCAAGATTTTGCGGAGAAATATATACAAACTGAAAGTAATGTAATATGAAATTATTTAATTGAACTGCATCATTGTTATTGCAGTTTCATCTCGTTGAACGTCTCCTGCATTAGTAATAGGTAGTATTACTTGCAGTATCGAACAGTTTTCAAATAATCGTCGTTTAATCGAATGAATTATAGTAATTCGATTCGGTTGGTATCACTGGTAACCCCCATGGCATCCAACATGTTAATATGTATTTTCTTATTTATTTTTGAAATATGATTTATTATGTATTATTATTCAATTGCCTGCCACGAGTCCAGTTCGTCTATGCAAAATGGATTAACGAAGAGTCGATCATTGTCAGCCATACGATTCGTTGTATTGTACACGGGTACGCGTGAAGGACTCACCAAACCGTCAATTTCGGGGTCATTGATCAAGAACGGCTTTCGGTCTCTTTCTTGGTGTTGGACGAAGGCCTGTATATCCATATTGAAACTTTCGGACGTCGAGTTGTCCGAGCTTTGAGTAGCTTGTTCGCATCTTTCGAAAAGTAACGCGAGCAGCGGGAAGAGGGGATGCTTGTAGACTGCCCTTTTGTCCGCTTCGAATTGGGCTTGATCCTGATGGGTTGTGTAATCGGCAACCCCACTTGCAGGGTCCTGATCGTAGCCAGGAGTCACCATCGCTAGCGCCACGGCGGTGCTACCCTCTTGCATTCTGCAACGACATTTTCACCGTCAATTTAATATATTCAATTTATTCGTTAAAAAGTGATTGGTCAGTACCAAAGGCAACATTGGAACAAACTATTTACTGGCATTTATCAGCTAAACCCGAGACTGCATTCTTACTTGATTGATAGATGATTGTGATTTTTCGTTATATACGATATCATCATAGTAACATCACCAATAAATTAGAAATTTCTCTTACAATTAGTAGAAATAAATCTAAACGCGTCGTAAATGGAAGAATAACGCGAGCTAAGTCAGTATTGAAAAATTTCATCAAGCGGTCATTTTTGGCAATCGTATCCCCTCTAAGACTGAAGAGACAGTCCAATGATTGCGGGTATTTCTAGACCTATTTCTGGCACACAAAACTTCCATGTTAAGTGGACAAACCAAATATTATTGTATGTATCAGGCTTATGCCTGAACAGACTAAACGACTTATCTATCTCGATAATCTTTGATATAATGCGTTTTTGAGATTTGAAATTTTGACCGTATTAAATATAATTCCTCGATACTAATGTTGAAGGCGCGAGCGTTAATAATGAATTTATTCCAATATTCTTGATGAATAGAATATTTTTAATATTTTTCATCAGATGAACCTGTTCATCTCTGGTTATACTTATAATGTTACAATGTTCCTTCCATGACGAGCTACTCTTTGAAGCCCTCCTTAAGACCTTGCTCCGAAGTATTCTCATGTATCTTCTACCGCGAAATAACAGCCAATCGGTGATTAAAGAACAAAATACCTCCCGCTATTCCAAAGAGTTTCATTAGACTTTCCGAATCACGAGACGTTACGGGGGGAAAAGCTGTATTTCACTATATCTCTTGCCGTGAAGAGTCGTCATGCGCAGCAAGGCAGTGCTCCAAGTACTCCTACATTTGTTTTACCTATCATTCCTGTCTGGCACCATCCATCGTTGCCCAGGTCCTCCGGGGCCTGTGATGCAATGACCGTTTTAACCTACGCGGAGAACCTTGTTCACAGTAGCTCACTGAAACAGAAGAAATATAACCAGGTAAACGAGGAGTTTTATCGAGAAATTATAGTTTATTAGGGGCAAGGGAAATATTATTTATTCGAGGAATACGTTCGCAGGTATTTTGGAACGGGGAGCGCGAGTGAGTGAACGAGACGAAAAAAGAATGCGAAGGAGATGGAAGAGAATCGTCGCGGCGGCACGGAGAACCAAACGATGCGCGGCACACTGCATTTAAATGTCATCGTTAGACGGTCTCAACACCATCAGCACTGTTGCTGGCACCAGTTCTGCTTCCCATTCCGAACGTTCCTTTTGAATTTTCCTCGATCGCCATACACGTCCCCTTCGGTATGAATAAATAAAGTACTGCGACACTCTTAGTGACAAAGCGGCGACACCCAACGAAAATCACGGTAATCCGACCCAATACGCTTATCAGACACTGACAATTCGGTGACCCGAACATTCCGATTCTTTTCCGAGCCTTGAAAAATTTTTTTATATCCTTATTGCCTTTTGCCTTTGCTGCTTTTTGGTTGCTCAACAGTGAAAACTCCTCTTAAATATTACCTTTTCGTGTTCTGCGTATTTAGTAAATTATAGTGGACATAACAACAAATTGTTTCAGTGAAAATGTAACGGTCTTTAATGTTTTCTAAATTTGTATGAAATTTCGCTGTAAGCAACGAAGTTTTGACAATTTTGTTGGATAATTTCAGAACAAACAGTTTCAACTAAAGATTACAGTAGAACCCTCCAAAACGAGATTAAAGTATTCCGCGATATAGAGTTTCACGTTTATGGATTTCGCGTGAAATTCTCCTTTTGGGTACTGGTATAGCTTGCGTCAGTTTTCAGTAGAAAATCTTACTTTCATAGTTGTTTTTCGACCATATTTTAATCGCGTTATAGAGGTCCTACCGTAATGAGCATGATTAGACTGTGGCACACTAATTAAGAAGTTCTACACTGTAATTCGAGAATAATAAACACAAACTAGCTACTGAGATTATAGATTTCATAGAGCATTGGGTTTTTTGGAGAAATGAGAAAGAAAATGATTGTAAAGTTAAACGGTAAATGGTATAGCATTTTACTGATGACAAAAAAAAGCAAATTAGACCTCCGCGTCGCTTAAATAGCTTTACTTTAAAAAAATCGATTACACCATACGATATTTCCTTTCCACTTTATAATCGAACGTTCTTCGGAAAGAATTCCCCGAGGACAACCTTAATGTCCCAAATTATTCGATCGATCGTGCGAAGAATATTACGAATCACCCCGCACATAATTCTTCGTAATTTCCCATAATGGCCGCGAATTTGCATCTCCAAATTAATTTAATAACGGTGAAAAAGGAAACACAGGTCGCGTTATAATTTGTAAGCAGCACTTCAAAGACACTTTAACCACATATTAATAGTGGAAAAAACAACTTTCGACTGGATTCACCACCAATAATGATAATCAGAGTTCAGCCAAAATGCGAACAGTCTGCCTTCTTCACCGACGTAATTTTCTTTAAGTTTTCAAACTTGTCACAAAGGCTGTTGACCAACTATGAAAAATATAATATAATAAATATGAATCACTATATAGACATGACTGCACTGGTTTCTTTCGTTGAACCCCTCAAAGATTATTATTATCGCAACCAGTGTTCCGACAAAGTTCAACAATTTGTAGTCTTACGAAAACTTTCTAAAAACGCAAAAAATTTGCAAGTGCGAAACCAATCAATCTGATCATCATGACGATATCCTTATTAAAGTTTCTTTGGAGAAAATAATATTTCACACGAACCGATTAAAGAATTCACTAAAATAAAAAGGAGCACTGTATTCATTGTTGATGCACTCTTACTCGGACAGGTACGATGTAAAAAAACATTATAGAAATAAAAATGTATGTCCCAGTCAACGTTCGAGCGTTGCAATGAATGTTCTCGGTACCTCTAGATCTAAGATGGGAGGAACGTCTTCGCGTAACGACGTGACGGAAGAGGAAGAGACAGGTAGGGAGGAACGGTAGCAAAGGGAGGCAGCGAACGGAAAGAAGGGTGGCACCCTAACAGACGAAGAACCTTGTAGGAGAAGAAAAAAGAAGAAGATGAACAAAGAGAAAGAGAGAGAGAAAGAGTACCATTACTTGCAAGTGGTGCTTCCACCACGCTCGCGTCTTTCCGTTAAACCCGATATTTATTGTGCCGGTCGTCTCTCGCCACTTTCATTTAAAAATATTATCGCTGACGGTGAACGGTCAGTGCAACCGTGTTCCCGCAGCTGCGTCTACGAATCGGTTCGACTAAAACGCGTTCAAATTTTCCTCCTTTTCCCACCATTTCGATCTCGCCATCCCCAACCTCGATGTCATGGCCAACGCCATTCATCGAAATAACAATAGTGTTAAGGCTCTTGGCACATTATATGCGGGAAACGTACTGCTAGGAGATCACTCTATGGTTAGGTCGACGAATTCGCCTGATCAGTTTTCATTTTTTACCAACCAGTTTCTTGTTGGTTTGATGTCCTGATTCCTGAGATTTTCGATCGTGTATTTCCTCTTCGCCAATAGGGTTGCGCGTAATCAATCAAAACTATAAAACTGTAAACTAAAAGGACACATATTGCCCCTGTGTCTTTTCGCTGTACATCTCCCAACTGTGCTTACTAGTACTTCTACGTTTTTCGTGTACCATTGAATAGTAGTAAATAAACATTTGTATTAATTTCATTAACCCGTTGCATTCGAAAGCTTTTCATTGGAAATATTCAACATTTCCCGATGAGATATAGACGACATCCCTTGAAACTAATGAGAAAATATACATAAATTAAGGAACAAAGGTATTTTATTTCAATATCGAGTGCAAAGGGTTAACATTTTACGTTAAATGTAAAAGTTTGACTCTTCTTACGTACGACTGAAAGTCTTTATATTTGAAAGCTGTTGAAAACATATTGACTAACGAATATTTTCGAATGTAATTAATATAAGTTGAAATGAACAAAATAGACAGCGTACAATGTGTACATTTTATCTATTGCTCGAGACGTCTTTTATGCAATATTTTTATAGAGCCTTTCAAGGGTTGTTTATGTAATTCGACCATCATCGATGTTTTTATGTGGAATTGTAATTCATTCATTCTTTACGCAACAAGCCCGTTTTTATGGATTTTATTATCGACACGGAAGAGATATTGTGCGGAATACCATAAACTGATCGATGGTTGAGGGAATTATTCTTTTTTTCTTGTGCAACGAGTAACCTTGCGTCACTTCCTCATTCGTTTCCGATGTAGCTATTGTTTCGGTTTTTATTGTTCTTTTATATTCACTTTTAGACTCTGACAATGTGGGCTTTCTTTAATCATTCGTGCAGGATCGACGAAAATTGGCCGTAACAAATCTTTAATCGATTTTCATTGATAAACAAGTTAAAGGGGTTGAAATACCGAGTTATCCACTTAACTGGGAATCCTTACGCGCGAATGGCAATAATGCGGCACGATTTACGGACATGCTATCTGCATTCGACTATATTTCACGACAGTTTCTTGCTAAAAATGAACGTCGTTTAATCCTCATTGTTGTCCGTTAATATTTTATGTTTACATTGATTCGATGAAAATGAATAATGCTCGTCATTGTTTGATTTGTTGCGTGTTTCGATTCGTTTTTATCAGCAAAAAATCTTCAGTCGATTGGTGACGTTTTCATGAAGATATTGTTAACAATAAAATTAATCTGGATTTGACCGGTAAACGACGCTAGTCTGTGCGTTATAACGTTGTCTTTGATACCGATCGACGACCGTAACTTGAGAAGGGTTGAACTCGATAACACACACGAGCGATTTCCCTAGGAAACAATGTAATCCCCGTGAACACCGTTTACCAATGAAAATCAAGTTTTTGTGATAATTTATAACTATGCTATCGAAACATCGTTAATCTACTCCCGATGTTCTCCCGCTGGAAACGAGTCTAAACACACTATAAATCGGGTAATAATGTGCACCGGGTCAATATTGAAAATTTTCACCATCAAAGGGATGACGTTGCACGAACACGGTGGTGCTTGTGCGTGTCGCGTTTGTTCTCGGGTGCTCGCGGGTTCAGATAAGTGGATATCCCTGAATAATAATTTCCGAGGGGAAAAATTCTACGTTCATTATTTTTAAGTTGAGTTTTACTCGGAAGGTTAAATACTGATAACGAAACAATGAAATGAATAATATGTGATTTATTAAATTCAATATGAAACCATCGTTTCAAGTCTACCTCAATATTACAAGGCATGGGGTTGATCACGTATTTATCAAGGATTAATATTGATGATCCATATATATCAAATCGCATTTTCAGAAATGAAATTGTACATTTTAATGGATCATCCTGAATCGGTATTGTCGCATCACAGACAATTCAGTTTTGTTTACTTATGTCTTCGCGTTTAATGGTAACTGCATGTTGAAGGTATGAATGAACAATACATTAAAATTAGAATACTGAAATACTGGCTGAAGAACTCAATGGAGTAACCCAGCTGTTTACAAGAATAAACGGAGACACGTAATGCAACACTACCTGTCGCTTAGCAATTAATAGTTAATTGTTGATTAAAGTTAAAAAGATAATGTTAATGATGCACTAGATCCAGAACATTTAAATACTCGTTTGAGGGGTTAATAGAGACCCGGCTGTTTACGCAAATAAACAGAGGCAGCTAATTACATCTCTCAATATCGCGATACATTTATATTTCCGTTTGAAAATATGGCTGATGCATTGTGGCACCTGTTTCTTCAACATTTCGTGAAATACACAGTCTTACTCCAAAAGATGTCGAAGTCTCGCCAATTTGAATTGATGATACCGGAAGATTTTCAACTTAATACTTCTTAGATGTCTTTGCAGCAGTTCTTCCTTAGAGAAAATAATTTCAACAAAATTTCAGTGACTTCAGGAATTATTTTTTCATAAAGTATTATCCAGTACTGTCCAA